AGCACTGTGAACGTTTTCAAACTGAAAGCTGACAATGTTTCCCGCTTTGCAGCCATGTCTGGGTCTGTCAGCTTGGAGCTGGATCCGCTCTTTCTAAAGGGACTGAGCTACCTGCACTCGAAGAGCAAAGATTCGGCCGAGAAGCTCAAAGCTCTGCTCGACGAGTCCCTCGCAAGAGGAAGCGACTCGTCCTACCGGTCCTTGCAGAAAGTAAGGAATATGTCTAGAAAGTCTGTATTTGCATCCTTATGTTCTCTTTGCGTTTCATAAGTTATGCATTGTGTTCACAGCTAAGCTCTAGTGTTTTCTGTGGTTTAATCCTCAGGAGGCCGAGGTGTCAAAGGTGTCCGTGTCCAAGCTGAGCTTGAGTAAACAAGATTCCAAGTCATCAGGTTCGTCTTCCAACAGCAGCAGCGGAAGCAGCAAATCCAGCTCTGAGAAGAGCAAGAAAGATGTGGAGAAAAGGCAGTCGGAAAAGGTACGAAGGGGAATTTTTTTTTCACAGCGATCCAAGGTTCAAAGCTTCAGAGCCTTTCACTTAACCAGCATTCAGAAGCTCCGCACTACAGCAATGCCATCACGGTTGTGATGTAAGCGGTTTCTCCAGCGGTACTATGAATGCTGGGAGGTTCGGTTTAGTCAGCCCTTCTTTCTCAGGGTTTGTCTGAAACTTAGGGAGAGCTGTGTGGTGCAATCAGTTTTCATATGGTTCGCTCAGACTATTGACGTGGAATAAAGAACTGAGTAAACGGAAAGAAACAAAATAAGTCCCTACTGGAATATCAATCGATTACTATCACAAAATTATTTCTAAGAATAAATGTCAAATAACTGAACAAAGACTTTACTATCTGTTTATGTATTTAATAAGGAGGATACTTATGCCACATGTAGCACTTTAAACCACAGTCTTGCCTTCAGCGACTGAAAAGCAGTACGACGTTTGCCAATAAGCTACATCAGAGTGTTGGGTGACGCTCGGTGTCATCTGCGCTTTGGTTGTAGATATAGTTTTACCCTTGTTAATAAAAAAAGGAAAGTAAAACAGAGCTTACAATTAATTGTCAGGGGATCTCTATTTAAATCTTTGCAACACCGGACTGGAAAAGCACCTTCAGTCTGAAAGGGAGCTTCTAAGCCTTCCTGCAGCCCAATTTAAGATGTTAATGTCAACCAAGTGTTCCTTCTATTATTATTATTATTATTATTATTATTGTAGATTCAAGTTGTCCTGGCAAAAAGTAGAAAGTTATGATACAAGGAAAATTTTATTTTATTTTCTCCAACTTTTTTTAAGGAGAGAACAAAGACAGCCTTCCATGTCATCTAAAGACTTCAGAGTCTGGATGTGTCCAGCTCTGAATGAAAGCTGGTGACTTTGGGATTACCTTTACTCTTCACTCTCTAGCAGTTTTTGTCAACGATGTTCCAGTTTAGATTAGTCATCCATAAATAAATGCGTCCTTTTGGAAGTGCTATGTTATAATGACACTGTGAAGTTTTGAGGGGGAATAGTGCCTGTTTAAGTCGCCTGACAAGCACAAAAGTCAGATTTGATTGTGAACTTAAAATCTTTGTCTTGTTTTCTGTAAAGCAGGTCAGGGTTGACCTCAGTGAAGTGGACCCCCCGAAAAAACCTCGCCTGGAGAAACAGGAGAATCGCTCTTCTCCCATCACCGTTCAGACGAGCAAAGACCTGCTGCCAAACATCAGTGACTACGACGAGACTAATGCTGATGACTTTGCCATGGAGATGGGTCTGGCTTGTGTGGTTTGCAGGTACATTTTAATCCTCTTGTTTTTTTTTTTTTTTTTTTTTTTTTTATGGCGGATATGACAACTCTTGATTTGATGTTTTGAGGACAGTATTACTGCCTCGTCAATATTACCATCGCATTTTAACTTGTTGTGTTTTTAATGTCAATCAGACAAATGACTGTAACCATGGGAAACCAGCTAGTGGAGTGCCAGGAGTGTCATAATCTCTATCACCAAGAGTGTCATAGACCTCAAGTGACGGATAAAGAAGTTAACGACCCCCGGCTCGTGTGGTACTGCGCTCGCTGCACCAGGCAAATGAAACGGATGGTGAGGAAAATGAGCTGCTCCGTTGTTTCAGTTCGTCGTTATGTTATCGGTATGTGCTGCACCGGTGCCAGATGAACATCTTTATTGTTGTTTAGGCCCAGAAACCTCCACAGAAACCTTCCCCTGCGTCTGCCTCATCCACACCTGTTGTAAAGGATACTGTGGTGAAGAAGACTGACCTCAAGCTAAAAACCGACACGACCAGCACCTTCCAAGCTTTCAAAAGAACAGAAGTGAAGGTATGTGGGGCCGTACAAGCTTGTGCCAAACGCTTCCTGTGTTGATTTTGCTTTATCATTTAGATCATTATCCTAATAAATGGATTTTCTCAGGGTCCACCACCAGATTTTATTTGTCTAATATATACAACAAAGTCCCCTGACCATTAGAAGAGAAACATCCCACTCCATCATTCATCCTTCAGTGTGCTTAACATTGGGCTTTGGGTGCAAAGTGGAGTGTTTGCATTTTTTTTTTATTGCTGAAAAGCTCAACCTTGCTCATATTTGACCAGATCCACTGATCCTGTTAAAGTCAATTCCAGAACTGTTCTGCATCTTTTTGTGTCCTTGCTTCAACAAACCTGAATCAAATAGCTGCATTACCTCCTGAGTGAATCACAATGAATCAAAACGTGAATGAAACTGCAACTCATTTCTATGTTGGCTGAAAGTTTTTGCAAAAAACGTCATCTTTTGAACAGATAAATCTTCTAATAGTTTAAGTTATTATTATTATTATTATTATTATTATCGCTGTTGTTAAATATTTATAAAATTATCTTGGCAATTTTTGTTTTATATCACACAATATAATGTTATTATTAATAGTGTTAATTTTATGTTCTCTCCATTTAGTGGTAACAATAATAAAATTAATTTAAATAATTAATAAAAAGAATACATAAATTGAATGAATAAATTAATTTTATTAGAATTTTTTTTTTTTTTTTTAAGTAATCATCATCAGTAGTTGTGGTTGCAGTATTAGTGTTAGTGGTTGTAGTAGTGGTTAGACTACATCTTTCACATCATTCATTTGGTAATTATTTCCAAAACAGCAATGCATCATGGGATGGGATGCAAATCAAATCCTATCAGATATCGCTCCCTAACAGTTGGACTCTTTGTTTTCTGTCGTTTCCTGCAGCCTCCGGCCACATCAGCCAACCCCACCAGCAGCAACTCCTCCTCCCCAGGCAGCGGTCTCACTGGCTGGGCTGCGTTCGGTGCCAAAACAAACCCGTCTGCTCCTGCCACTTCCAAACTTTCCTCCTCCGGCCCGAGCGGGAGCAGCAAGACTTTGACAGCTCCGTCCGGTCAGAAACCAGTGGGTTTGTCGGGACTAGCAGGAGCCAAATCGGGACTTGGTGCAAAGGTTACTGGGAGCAGCAATGGAAATGGCTCCAGCCAGGCAACTCTGAAGCCTCCCCCACCTCTAAATCTCGGTAAGCAGACACTTAGCCGCTCATCTAGCGGTGAGAGTCAAGGAAAAGGCTCTTCTTCGTCTGGAGCAGGCTCACCAAGCAGCTCACAGGCGGCGGCAGGGGGGAACGGAGGGAATAACGGAGGAGGTAATGGAAACAATGGGAACGGCTCAAAGGGCACACCGACTTCTCAGGAGTCCCAGCTTCATGCCATGAAACGCCTGCAGATCTTAAAGAAAAAAACGGCTCAAAAGAAACTGAAGAAATAAGTCAAGGTCCAGAGACATGAACCTTGAGGATAGAGGGTGACGCGAGGAAGCAGAACGAAAACATGTAGATTAGAGCATCGTGTTTGCACTTCAAGAGCTTCTGCACAAGGAGTCGCCATCATCCAGTCACATACTTGAACTTTACTGTGTGTTAACGCTGCTGGATTCTGCTGTGTGCCTCTTCTGTCCTAACAAAAGCGACCAGCGAGTAAAGTGTCACTTTTTAACAACCCGGTAAATAAATAATCTCTTCATGCAAACTGGCTATTTCTGTCACTTTTTAAAGGGTTTCTACACATTCAGGAAAACATTGTTTTGATTTTAGTATTTTTTTTTAAGTCTTGATATTTAGAGACAAAGAAAATATAAGACGGGGAAACTTTTCATTTCCAGGTTGTTTTTTTTTCTTCTGTTGTTGCTTTTATTGATCATGTCCTTCCTTCTTTACTCCTTTATATCCTGCCTTCATTTTGTCCTTTCTTTGTTTTCATCCCTTCCTTTCTTGATCGTGTCCTTTCTTCCTGACCTTCTGAAGTACTCCTAGTTCGTTTTTTTTATCTTTCCTTCATTGATTCATCTGTCCACGCTCCTCTTCCATTCTCATTTTCTCTCCGTCCTTCCTTGTGCCCTTCATTTGTACACCTTTCTTTTACTTCATTATCGAATCCTTGTATTCTTTCTCCCCATTGACCTTCCTTTTCTCGGTTATTGTTCCATCTCCTTCCTTCATTCATTCATTCCTCCATCAATCATCAATCCATCCATCCACTCACTGGCTCATAGATGTAAAACGTGTGGAAATGTGAGTCTAGAAAAATGTAGAAATTAGTTGTATTTATTAAATGTTTCAAAATTAAGAAAAAAAAATGAATTCTGCAAATCAAAACATTTTGAACAAATCATAAAAAATATTCTTCATAATTTTCTTCATTTATATAAATGATCTCTAAATCAAGTCATATATTACTTCATGGTCATATAACTTCAATATAAACACTGAGGTACAAAAGGTGCTCAGCAAAGTGAACTGCGGTTTCATCATTTTCATCCGAACCAAATGACAGGTTAAATACCAACGGTGAGCTCTCGCACTACATTCATATAAAGACAAAGCAGTTTTACATGGTGCCTGAAAACATTTACATCTAGAAAGTGCAGTTTCAGTACAAAGCAGAAATTCAACATGTTAACAGATCCGGGTTTTTTTTGGTTTTTTGGGGGGGAGTAGGGGGCAGGTAAAAAGGGGGTTGCAAAAAAAGACAAAAACTTTGTTCTTGATCGTTAACTAGTTCTGATCTTAAATGTTACCGCATACAGAGCTTTTTACATGTATTGGCACCACAAGTAGTCTATGTAACAAAAAGAAGTCTCAAGAATTGTGTTTTTGCAGCAATATCTGAAAGTTAAAATCAGTGAACCAACTTTTCATTTGAGTAAATTTATGATGTGGTGAATAAGTTTTATACTTTTAGAGAGTCATTGGCACCCCTAACAAATCGTTTAAACTGTAACTAAAGCTTTTTGATAAGTTGTAATTCACTTTTTTTAGATAATCAGGGTGTTCTAAATTTTAATTGGTAACCCCTGACTTTCTGTTTCTTGGACTGATGTGACTATAAGGACATTTTTATCTACTCTTCCAAATGGGTATCAAGAGAACATGCCATGCAAGTAAGCTGAATATGTGTTGGAGATTATAACAATATAGCAAGCTGCCTAAACTTCGCTGTAAATCAAAGAGATGATAAAACACCTTAAAACTGGAAGTCTGACAACAAAAGGATAGACAAGGAACAACATTTATCTTTCCATCATCCACTGTGGAGAGGGTGATGGTGCAAAAATAAACTCCAAATCTTGCTCATTAGAGTGCTGGAGGAACCTGTGGTATGTTGGGGGTAATCAAGACCCCATAATAGGCATTCGTTTGAGCACTTTTAATGACATTTTTATCAGCAGTGCCAATAATTGTGGCAGGCTTTAAATGTAAAAAAAAAAAAAAAAAAAACTATTAAAAAAGTAGAAAGTTTTCTTACAAACAAGACAAATTAGCTCTTCTGATGCGACAAGGCAATAAACACGCTCTTGCAGTTACTTTTCTCGTGACTTTGGTATTAAACTCAAAATGGAGAAATATGTAACCTTGAACAATTACAAAATATTTGAATCCAAAATGTACGATATTTTACTTCAAAAATGTTGGGTATGACATCATAACCATTAATATTGCTTTCTTTTGGTCATTTTTACATTCTGGATTCATGCATATGACATTCTGCCAAGGTAGTTAGCAGGGACGTATCCCTTCTGTCCATTGGACTCAGCCAACCACCACTGCTTGTTTCCGCCCAGGTCACAGAACTGGAGTATGCGGACGTGCTGGTACTCCTGCAGGGACAGCTCCTGTTCACAGCGTGCTTGAAATGCATAGACGGCATAATACTGGGGAGACAAACATAGTCCAGGTGTTACTGAATGCAGCAAAGATCTTTGTTTGTGTGGATACGGTTTACTTTCTCACTTCCCATACATCTGGTGTATTTTTATTTTAAACCAGTAGGGGGCACTGTTTTTTTAGTTTTCTACGTCGACAAAGAAATTATTTCCACTGGTTAGTCTAAGGCTACCGATTATCTTTACTTTAAAACTTACAGTTTTTAAAAGAATACAATATTCTAACGTTACCGTAATGATTAAACAACTACAACAGAAACACCTGGGCAGCACCACACACCTGTTGGGTGTCACCATCCACCGACTCTCCCTGTTCTTCAGCGTTCTCCAGCTCTCCCTGCAGACCTGAGAGGGTTGAGCTGCTGTCTGTGGTGTTCAGGCTGCCACTGCGCATGCTGCCGCTGCTGCTGGGTGACACAAACAGGCTGAGGTCGTCAAAGTCCTCATATGTGATGACAGGCGCCTGCTGCTGCTCTTTGGCCTTCTGGTTCGCCCGCTGGGAGTCCCTCAGAGGGTTGTACTGCTTCAGGAACGTGGAGTAGACATAGCCTTTGTCACCTAATGGAGGCAGAGTAACATGACTTGTCATAATCCATGATTTTTGTGATTTGTTTTTGACACATTGGTATGATTTTTTTAAAATTTTTTTTATCCTCCTATCAGCTTGAAGACTTTATAGCAATCACTGCTCCCAGCTAACTCAGTAGGTGTTTACGTCCCTGCTGTTATTTGCACAGATCTCTCCATTCAAATAATATTACTGCTGACACTTGCACATCCTGTTACACCTGACTTTTCACACTGTTGCCCAATAAATGACATTTCAATTAGTGCATTATTAAATGAGTTGACGATTATTTCAATAATCGACTAACCACGATTAATCGTACATTTGACATTAAGGTTGTCAGCACCTCAGAGGCTGCAGAAGTTTTACTTGCACAATCCTAAACTCAGCTACGCGTTGTGTAAATATACGTCAGAGCTGCTACAAACAGAAAGTATAACAACAGCTTCCCACGAATGCTGCTTTTCCCAAAGGAAAATCCCAGGCCTGTAAAGAATGTAGCTACCTCTAAGAAATACTAATATGCAGAAAACGGGGAGCAACATAAGAAAAAAAAGTTCCTGTAATCTCACGTGACCCCCAGATCCCCAGAGGAAAGCGCTTTGTACTATAAGTGCAGAGGAGTTCAGTTTGTTCCAACCGGTTGCTGATATCTCAGCTGATTCTGGAAGACAAGCTATGGAGTTGGATCTGTTGTGAGGCAACCAGCTCTAGAGGCACCAGCAACCATGACACCACGCCAGCTCCTGGGACTAATTCTTGTGTGCTGACTCGTCAGAAAGTAAAGGAAGGAGTCTCAGTCATATATATAAAAAAAAAAAAAAAAAAAATGCATGGGCCTATGCCAACCACATACAGTTTTTTTTTTTTTTTCTAAACAAAGTCTCTGCTTTCTCTCTCATACACACAAACACACACACTTGCCTCCGTTGTGCACCAGCCAACGGCTGCTGCTGCCTAAAGGGTCTGTATCCTCCAACATGGCCACCAGCTCTCCCTCCAGCAGGCTGAGGTCCTGCTCCTGACAGCCATTGCACTTCCTCTTCAGCTGGTAGAGGCGGTTCGGCGGGTACTCCGCCAGCAGCCAGGCGCGCTGTTCCTCTGTTTGATGCTGCACCTCCTGCACCTGGAAGACAGAGCGGTACGGAGAAGTGTTGGTGTAAATATTTGCTGTGGGTATTTGCTGCGTGGCGCTACGTAACAGAGTTGTCAGTAATGAGGGAGAATTCATCCAGAGGAAGGAGTTTTAGACTATGGCTTCACACGTCTAAGCGCAAATCAAACTGCATAGGTAACTCAGATTGGGAGATTATTTATTAATGTGTATTTTGTACATTTTCTGGTGTGACGACAGAAAAAAAAAAAGAAAAGGTAAAGTTCTGAGATTTCGGCTTGAAAGTAGAAAAAAACCCTTCACGGGCAAACCTTTATTTGTCTCAAGTACCCAATCAGATGTGAGCAACATTGTGCAACCCTTCAAGTAAAAAAAAAAAAAAAACCTAAAAGTTATGATTATTTCTATGGTCTTACCACTGTCTTTTTGTCTCGTTGCCTCTCAAAGCTGACTTTTCTCTCCATTAACTTCTGAGCATTATCCTTCACAAATGTCAGATTGTTCAGCTCATCCATGATGCTGTTCTGCACTTCAGCCATGTTTGACAGAGGAGGCTTGAAAGTACAGAAAAACAAAAGTTAGATCAATTTCAAATGAACAAAACTACATATGCATATAAGCTGTGTGTGTGTGTGTGTGTGTGTGTGTGTGTGTGTGTGTGAGTGTGTGTGTGTGTGTGTGTGTGTGTGTGTGTGTGTGTGTGTGTGTGTGTGTGTGTGTGATTCTCACAGGCAGCTGGTGAACAGCCGGAGCTCCAACCAAAGCGCAACCCATCAGTCCTCTGAGCAGGGCCACCAGACACAGCACGCAGTTTGTCAGGATGGCATAAGCCGCCATGTTGAACCTCTGCAACTCGTCCACTAGCAAAGCATTGATGGCTTCATAGTCTCTCTTGGCAGGACCAGGAGGCGCGTCTGACGCTGGTGAGGAGGTGGGGGACAAGGTGGAGGTGGAGGAGGAGGATGACAAAGAGGAGGAGCGCTCCAGGCGGCAGCAGTAGTCCAGCAGCTTGTCGTATCTCTTCTGGATGAGCTTCTGCGGGGCGGTGAACATGCCCTGCAGAGAGGTGAGGGGCAGCAGAACCAACTCCTCCATTCGCTCTTTCTGAAGGAGAAGGGAAGGGAGAATCGTAGATGCACACAAGTTTGAAAGCTCACTCGGTGCAGTTTGTGAAGAGCTCGATGCTAAGCAGATATTTCCACCCATCCACAATCTTTGTGGGATTGCGAGGTGGGGGTGGGGGCTGGTGCCTATCTCCAGCACTCAACAGGAGAGAGGCGGGGTACACCCAGGACAGGCCACCAGTAAGCAGATATTTAAGTTAGTTAAATGTGCTTAAACTTAGCTAAGGTCTGAAAAAAAAAGCCTCAAACTGTCACCTAACATGGAAGAAAGCTGGTTACGATGTTCAAGAACAACACAAGAAACAACAAAGTTCAGACATCGAAAGCAACAGCAGACCAGAGTCACCGCCCACGGTGAAGCACTTTTTTTTTTTTTTTTCATTTTCTGAAGCAAATTTAAGATCAACTTTGAATGAGAAAAGCTCCTGCTTCAAAATCAACACATTCACTCTCAACTGAAAACTACAGCTGCCCACACAGACGAACCAAATGATTGACCTCATTTAGAGAACATCAGATGGACGGTTGGACTAGTGATGTTCAAACATGACAATGATGTCAACAAAGTAAAATCAAACCTGGTTTTGGCTTGAATAAATCAGGCAGGGACCAAATAACTTTAAATGAGCGTGACACATTATTTTAAGAACACTGGTCCAAATATCTACCCAGAATTTTTCCAGATTAGTTGAAATGTAAGTGGGGTTGGATTTTTTTTTTTTTTTTACCCTGTGTGGCTTTAATAAAATCCACAACAAATTTCAATGTTTTATTCCTTAAAAGTCAGACAAGGTTTTCAGTGTCTCACTAACTTTTATTCCACCATGGAAAAAAGAATGGTTCAAATAAAACATTGAAAAGCTCAACGTTGATGTGACTTTCATGCCCACGATGAATATATGTTCATCAAATCAATCAATCAATCAAATTTTATTTGTATAGCACATTTCAGCAGCAAGTCATTTTAAAGTGCTTTACATAATTTTAAACAGTGAGAAAGAAAAATAAAAAGAAAGTAATAAAAAGAAAAGATAAAATCATTCTGTTGGACTTCCTGTCCATTCAAGTTATATGATCTACTCAGATCTTCCATTTCTTAACACGGGTATTAGCCAGGCCCCGCAGCCTAACAGGACAAGGCCTCCAGCCTTGCAGCACCAGGCTCCGTCCGCCTGTTTCGCGAAAATTTTGCGCTAGGACTTTCGCTGTCCTACGCGGATTTTGTGCATTAATTGGTTACCTGTTAGTCTAGAATTTACAGGGTTTTATATACGCGCAATGACTCCCAGTCACTCGCAAATACATAGAAGGCATCAATTGCCATAGGCAACTGTAAACAGGTGGGTTTTAAGTTGAGATTTAAAGGCTCTCAGTGTTTCAGCTGTTTTACAGTTTTCTGGAAGTTTGTTCCAAATTTGTGGTGCATAGAAACTGAACTCTGCTTCTCCTCGTTTGGTTCTGGTTCTGGGGATGCAGAGCAGATCAGAACCAGAAGATCTGAGGGGTCTAGACGGTTGGTACAGCAATAACAGATCTTTAATGTATTGTGGTGCTAAACCATTCAGTGATTTATAAACTAACAACAGTATTTTAAAGTCTATTCTTTGAGCTACAAGGAGCCAGTGTAGGGGCTTTAAAACTGGTGTTATGTGCTCTATCTTCTTGGTTTTAGTGAGAACACGAGCAGCAGCATTCTGGATCAGCTGCAGCTGTTTGATTGATTTATTAGTCAGACCTGTGAAGACGCTGTTGCAGTAATCAATGCGGCTAAAGATAAACGCATGGATGAGTTTCTCTAGATCATGCTGAGACATTAGTCCTCTAATCCTGGAGATGTTCTTAGATGTTCTTAGATGTTCTCAGGTGATAGAAGGCCGACTTTGTGACTGTCTTAATATGGCTCTGAAGGTTCAGGTCAGAGGTCATCACTACTCCCAGGTTTCGGGCTGATCGCTGGTTTTCATTTGTAATAACTGAGGCTGTGCATTGATTCTAGTTCGCTCCTCTTTAGGTCCAAAGATAATAACTTCAGTTTGTTTCTGTTCAGCTGGAGAAAGTTTTGGCCCATCCACACATTTATCTGTTCTAAGCATCTATTCAGTGATTGGATGGGTTCAGAGTCACCTGGTGACATCGTGATGTAGAGCTGTGTATCATCCGCATAGTTATGGTAGCTAATCCTATTTCCTGCTATAACCTGAGCCAGCGGGAGCATATAAATATTGAAAAGAAGGGGTCCTAGGATTGAGCCTTGGGGTACCCCACATGTGACCTTTGACCTCTCTGATGAGAAGTTTCCAATTGAAACAAAGAAATTCCTGTTGCAAAAGTGCAGCAAAAGTTGTACTTACAAAGTACTTATAAGGATCTTTGCCATTCTTGTGTGACGAGCCATTTGTGTCTGCTTTGCTTGGATCCGTAATCATGTTTTCCATGTCCTTCACGTTCTGAGCGGCAACAGGCACCATCTCCTGCAGAGAAATGTGGAGGCTTTCAGGAAACTGACAGGATATTGAAGATTATTTATTTCTCCTCAAGTCTATCCCATTTTTTAGGTTTATTATGAGAACTGTACAAGCGGTCATATATATGTTTTATATATGTTATTTTTAAGTTTGGAGAAAATGCCCATCTTAAGAATTAATTTTTAACAAAATTACCAATATCACAGTTATGTGAATCCAGGCTAGTGAGAAAAAGAAACAGGCGTTCTTTTTGAACCCCAGCTAAACAAAAAAAAATTATTGAGTACAAATGAGACATTACTAAACTTTGTGTTTATTTCAAATGTATGTTCAGATAGATGATGGAGGCTGTGCCACAAGGGATTTTGTAATAACAATCCATTCCTAACATTGGATTACTTTCCCGTAGCATAAATGGACTCAGATTAAAAGGTGGAGTTTTCAGACTATGTTGCTGCAGCTTCAGTAAAAGAGTCGTTTTAGTAGCTTAAAGCCTTTTAGACATCTTCACTAACGGTGCCAGTACAGTAAGCATGGCTGAATCTTCAGCCTCTCAGTTCTCACCTGAGTATATTGCACATAACAGTTAACATTCTTGGCCAGTTGCCTCACAGCTTTCTCCAGACTCCTGAACAGTTTCTCTTCCTTGTCAAACACTTCATCTCTCACCTGCAGACACAGTCACAGTTAAGGGAATGCTCTGGTATGTTCGGCTCGTGAGCCCAACCACTGATCTGTTTCTACGTCTGCAGGGAGCGAAGGAGGAACAGCGTGTTGGTACCTGTGGTTCGACTCCAGTGAGAATCTTTAGATATCCCGCAAACCTGTCTCCTTTCTTCCGGAGGGAGTGGATGTTAATCTTGTTTAGCTTGCCCCTCAGCGTGCCTTCATCATTTTCTAACCTCTTGTACTTCATAACTAATGTTTGTAGGTATGGAAACAAAACAAAACAACAACAAAAAAGGCAGGCAGGGAATAAAAAACAAGTTTACACATTTATTGAATAGACTGATTAAGTAAACAATTTTTTTTTGGATGTGAATAAATTCATACCTATGTCTTTCCGTCTCCTGAACTCATTGATGTTAACGTTTATGATCTTGGCAGCGGTGAGCGCCTCCTGCAGGGGCAGGTAGTCAAAGTGGTCTTCAGGGGTGGCCTGCCAAAGTTCCCCCAGAAGCAACGGATACTTCATGATCCTCTGGACTGGTTTGATCAGCAGGGAGCCCATGTCCAACAAATTGGGTTTTCCTCTGTGGAAACACAAATTTGACTCAGTAAAGGATCAGAGAAAAAAAAAAAAAAAAAAAAAAAAAAAAGGGTGAGAAAATTTTTTTTTAAAAAAAAAAAAAAAAAACTCTACTTACTCTTGCTCATAGATTTTTCTGCAACAGAAAAAAAACAGTTACAGACTGAAGTTTAATTTTAAGGTTGTAGATCATAATAAAGTTATTTAGTGAATCTAGTAAAACTTACTTCAGTGCTAAGATACATGTAGTAAAATGCTGCTTTATCTGCTCCTCCTTCTCATAGGCCTTCAATGACATGTTGGCGTCGTCATGGTGGTAACAGTAAATCTTATATACATCTTCTAAAGCTGCCTTTGCCTGGATAAACACATCCCCTAAAGCAAACGAGAAAGAAAAAAAAAAAAGACCTTTGTTTTAGTCGCTAGCAGCCAACAATAAATGGAAGAAAAAAGAAAGAGTCAGGAACTGTGAAAGACGTACCTATGACGACTGCTTCTGGATCCGGGTCAGACAAGGCCGCGTGCATTCTGTGAAGGAGAGCTGCAGACACCTCACACACCGTCTCCATGTTGGTGAAAAGTCGGTCTACGTCAACAACCTGACAAAAAATATGGGAGGACATTGTGCTGATTAAGAACTGCGGCGTTATGCATAACAGTCAGCCTATTTGCATGTGCACAGCTTGGCCATCTGTATTTCAAACCATGTAAATTAATTTTCTTGATGTAATTAAAAAGCACTTTCTTCAAGAATACCTTTGCCAATTTAAATGTTAAAAACCAAAATAATTCAAGTTTTGACAATGCAAATAAGATATGTGACTGTATTTGTAATAAATTAAAGATGACCTAATTAAGCATTTTTAGATGATTTATATGAACAAAATCACTTTCTTTTTCAACTGAGCAAATATCTGCTTTCAGTAACACTGGAAGGGATTTAAACTTTGATTAACTGGAGGTGAATGTAAATCGGTTAACTGTTAAATTTGTAGACACATCGAAGCTAAGACTCCTCTACCTGCAACACTCGTAGAGGCTGGACGACTTCTCTGATGCACAGTTCCAAGTCGGTGAGGTAGTCCTTTTCGGTTTGCACAAGTTCTTTTATCACTTTCGCCCTGCGGCTCATCTTCCTGGACCGAATCTCCTCCACGTCCAGCACCGGAGAGGGGAGAGCTGACAGGTCATGAGGCATCAGTTTCTCTATGGGGACAAGGATCACGTAAAAATGAGTCCAAGTTAATTGATTTAATGTCAATTTGACTTGATATCATCACGGGGTGAAAAACTGGCAATGGGCTAAACAAAAAAAAAAAAAAAAAAAAAAGCCCAAGAGGTTTTTGAAATGCAACGTTGTGCTTTTGTTGCTATTTAAATTTTAAAAAATTATTGATTTTTTAAATTAATTTTTTTTTTCTGTAAGTTTTCTACCATCATCTTGACACCTGAGTGAAACTATGTCACTGTGATCTCATCTTCTTCAAATGAAAGTCAGAGAGCCTCACTTCAGCATGCCAGTCAGGCTCACTCGCTTCACGTTTTTTTTTTTTTTTAAATGCTCTGCTGCCTACACAGTGTGAGGCTGTTCTGTGGCAGGCTGAGGGACGCCTGTTTAAGGAAGAGCGATGCTTCCTCGCTGCCTAATCGATGCCAAGCGCTGCTTCCTCCTCTGTATGCAGAGAGCAATAAGGTGGTGGTGGTGGGGGGGCAGAAGGCTCCAAGCATCGTGTCAGGTTACGAAACTAATCAGGCTGCTGATGCAATCCTGCTGTGAGGATCTCAGGCATCTCATCTGCTCAGATCTTTCAAAGTGTTTGTGGGGCACACCAAACTCACACTCAAAAAGGAATAATGAAACCCACTAAGTGACACTGAATGAGTGAGTAGGTGCACACGAACTGTCATGACTGCACATGACAATATCATCTGCTTCAAGCAACACATTGTACCATAAGGGTTTAAGTTTTTTTTGTTGTTTTTTTACCAAGGACTGCTTTACATCTTGTTCAGGCAGAGGCCAAAAGTACCATTTGGAAAATTGTTCTAGAACTATCTGGCAATATTTGTTCAGCGATTCCATTTTGAATTTATATTGTTTACAAAGGTCTTCCCAATTATTGCATAAAACTAGTACATACTCTACAAAAAAAGTGTGCAGACGTGTCGCAGGTGCAATACTTGCCCCATATTTTGCTATTTAAAAGACAACAGAAACCACAGAAGTTGGAGAATGTAACTTGATAAAAGTGACATAACAATATTTGACCCAGTAGGACGGATCATGTGACTGTGCCCAGCAGAGCCTTATGGTGAATTCAAGCACAAGGAAAATACTAACATGGCAGAAACAAAGCTCTGATCTCACTCTACCGACAACACTGCGTGCTGCTGTGCCAACTCACACTTAAAGCCACAAAAAGTTGGAAAGCAAGACATTTATTATAGTCTACACATTCATATTTTAATATGTATTATAAAACGATAATATTTCACGTTTGATTGTTGTTCTTGCCATACTACTCAGCTACAGAATGAGATTTCTTCATTTTTTTACTTTAAATTTACTTCCAAATTTAAAGAAACAGGTTAAAACATATAGAAAAATGGCAAATTACTTATTGTTTGAAGAAAAGTAAAAAAAAAAAAAAAAGTCGGAGCCCAAGGTAGAAATCATCCTATGTTTTTAGCATTTAGCTGTTTCTCAGTTTGTCTAATATGATTAATATTTCACTTATAATGATCTAATGAATGTCCTTTCTTCAATGAATAATTTCTGAGAAACGTCTGGTTTAAGGTTTTCTGCATGCTGTGATTATTTTAAACATTGGTGGTCAGGAGCAGAGCTAAACTTTGAACTTGTACCTATTGAGTTCGTCCAATGTTGATTTTGAGGTCTATTTCTGGATCCTCTTGTAGAAACTAATCCTCTTATAATCTTTGGCGCTTATATAAATCATTTTCTTCCAAGTTATGCAAATATTCTAACGTTTTTAATCCTACCTCTACAAGTGAAATTTTTCCCGTGTCACAAGTTTAACAATGTAAACAATCCACCCACATCCTTATCAGCCAGAGAGATGTTCTACAAACACACATTTGCTCACCGCTGTCACATTTTTTTTTTTATTATTTTTAATTGCTTCTGCTTTTAATTTGATCGTAAAATACACCATTATGGTTGTGGTGTGTTTTTGTAGACATCCGTTACTGATTTCTGAAAAAAACTTTCTTATTTTCATGCACATGACATTTGTGGATGTGGAATTGGACAGTGTTACAATTCCACATCCAGATTAGATTTTTTTTTTATTTATATATTTATTTATTTATTTATTTTACAGCCAAACAAGTCACACACAATGATCATTTTCAGTTTACATAAATGCTGCGTTTATACGCATGGGGCAGAAGTTGGGTAGGTTTAAAGAATTATTGAATCAAAACTGTGACACACAGTTGCTGGAATGTGCTGTATAATACTGCTAATATTAGTGGGTTGTTGCAATAACTTTAGTTCAAGCCAGAGAAGAATTTTATTTATTTTTACTTTATTTATTTATTTATTTATTTTTTAAAGTTTTATCTTTTTGAATATAGGCAGGTAGAGGACGCAGCAAATGTGGATGAGTGTGCTCAACTCAACTGAGACCAAAATTGAATTTTTTTGACATTAATACCATGAATTTGAAAGATTAAGTTCACAGCATCCACACTGTGAACTATGATACAATGAGATGCTTTATTTCAGCAGTGACAATGAAACTGGTCAGAGTTGTTTTGAAGAGGAATGAAGCTAAACAGCTATAGAGTCACCCTCAAAGAAAACCAGTTAAAGGTTATCAGACTTCAGACAAGGTCAGATAAATAAAAAACTATACAGCTCACTCTCTTGATTTTTTCTTTAAATGATTGCTTTCTTCCATTTTACAGCTACACAATTTGCAATTAAACCAAACTGACTTTTGTAATTGTTACAATTTTTTTTGTTGTTGTTTTACCCTGTATCACAATACTTTATATTATCTAAGTAATAAGTCTCCAACACATAATAAGCAACTAGTTCAGTGTCATATGTCAGCTTTAGCTGTCAGTCTGTAAGAAAGATCCCATACCTGAAAACCAGCACCTGTGAGAAAATAGGCCCAAGGAGAGTTTGAGTTTGGTCACTTCAAACCAGCTGAAATGTGACTATTGAATTTTATAAAATTGACACAAAAAGCTTGTGTCATGAAAGCTTCACTTCTTTTTGCTACCAAACTGAAAAACTGTAAAACTGGTGGGACATTTTAAGTTTGACAGAATCCTGTTTGGTTTGGTTTCAGGTGCGGGATTTCCCATGAAAGCTTAGACAAGGGTTTTCTCTGTTCAGCCCAGTGAAAGGGATCCCAATACGCTAGTCCGGAAAGAGCACAAAAAAACCTGATGGATTGTGTTGCACTTTTTGGAAAAATAATACTTTGGATTGTGCCACACACCAACAGGAAAGTTATCAAGCCAAATAAATGTAATTTGAAAACAAAGCATACAGAAATTGGAGAAAAGCTGGTTGCAATAAGTGGATTATGGTTCTTATTCTCATGAATTGGCAACATGGTAAGAGCAAAGAACTTTTTTCATTGTTAAATTTTTGTTTATTTTAAGTTATACAAAGTTAAAGTTACCATAAAATATCAATAAATGCCAATTGTTGCAAAGGCCTACAGGAAATAATGTAAGCTGATGAATCCTTATGTAAACCTTAAAATTTAAAACTGCCTGCACATTTAACGGCACCCTAAGTAAATTTGTGTTAAAAGGTTTACAAAATCAATTCTCTTTTGTTTTTGTGTTGTTTTTACAACACAATAATCTCATAAGGAAAAGTTAGCTGTAGTTATTTGGAGATTTGTTTTTAACCTAAAAGGTTTGTTCCTCATCCAGCCTTATTGTTAACAGTTCCATTTGTTGTGAACCATTTAATCCATACTCTGAAAGTATATATGGGCAAATTGTTTTTTTCTTGAATATATTTCTTCATGTGTGAGGATCAACACAGATCTGCCTCAGTTGAATGGTACGTTCACTTCTCTTTCCCATCTTGAAGGGAAGCTTCTTTAACAATTCACATTTGCACCCGATGGAACCACAAAATCATATTGAAATTTTCGAAAAACAAGTGAATGAGCACATATTTGAAAATGCTTAAAATTTACAAATGTCTGTAGGCATTGTAGAACTTTTTACTTTATTTGGATGCCATTGGATATGGATGAGATGGTTTTGGGAATGGTAGGATATCCCGGTGGTTGTTACATGACCACCCATTCTTAGTATTTTAGAATTTGGGCAACAGATGTTCAAACAGGATCCAAATTTTAAAAGGAACCAGTTTTTTTTTTTTTTTAATTTGTCTTCCAACTTAGCACAGGAATGATTAATAAAATGTTACTTTAAGATGTACTAAACATCATAAGTGACTCTAACCCAGTATAAAACCATATTTTCTTGATTAAATGTGTGTATGAAAGACTGGAAAACCTAGTGTTTGACCAAAAGTTGACAGGTCATCTTTTCTCCTTTCTTTGTTTGGATGCTTATGCCACTCCCAGACAGTTGTGTTGCCCTGAGTGGTGAGCCATATCACAAATGTCAAAGACCACAGCTGATTAGACATACTGATGTTATGTCTCCATGGCTCCTTTGCACAAACCTGCCTGACAGGCAGATGAGAGCAGACTTGAAGAGCAGCAGCTCAAATGTTTCCTCTTTCAGTGAAGTCATCGTTCTGTCAATATTTGCATTGGTAATACCCCTGTAAATATGTAATGCTGCTCATCAGCTGACTCTAAAACAGGGCGGGGTTAATGGTTTACTGAAAACACCTCTGCGTGTGTTTTTGACAACTCTGCCCACCACGATACAGGCTGGGCTAGAAAATAGCACAAAGGAGCAGTAGAGTGGTCCTATTTCAGGTAAACAAAACTGCTGCCGATAAGGCAAGCATAAATAAGTGTGTGTGTGTGTGTATAAGTGTGTGTGAAAGTTACCTGTGAAACAGGCATTGAGATTTACTTTTCGTTTGCTTTATAAACCATCAGCGGTCAGTGTGTCATGTGATTTACATTGTTCACAGGAGAGGAAACTGAGGAACAAGTGGTGCAGGAAAGTCAACATACCTCAGTTGACTCAGTGATTGTAACCCCCCTGCTGACAGCTGATGTCATTTTGCTTGAAGTGCAGCATTCCCACTTGCTGACTGCAAATGGGAATGCTGACTGTCTGCACTCTAGGTCAGGCAGAGCCAGTTTTTTTTTTTTGTTTTTTTTTTTCTCAAGAGTGGATATGTGTTAAAAGTAATCATGCTCATCTGTAGTTGTGACCCCATTGTTGCTATTATTACTTTTGTAACTCATGTCTGTCCACGCTTTTTAAAGTTAATTTCATTCTTAAGTTGAATCTTTTTCATTTGTATAAAATGGAAACAGCTCAAGGGACTCATTGTTCCAACGTCTTGAATTTATAAAAATAACATTATGTTCCTTTTTTCCAGTCTTCCTGGCTAATGTCTTGTTTATGTGTCAGTCCGGAATACCTGAAAGGCCACTCCTCCGTGCCCGGGTATGGGGCACAGTTTGCATATGTGGCTTCATCCCTCAGGGAGTATCTTTCTCAGCACATAGTAACACAACAGGTGCCCAATAAAGAGCAGAGCACACTTACTGGCAGGTGCAGTGTTAAAATTCCCCCACCCCCTTAAGCCACGGATGCTGTTTTTAACAGCCTGTCTGTTGTGCATCTATTACATCTCCAGGTATAAGTTTGCACTGAGACACTTTAGTTGCTATAGTTTTGTCACTTGGGAACATCTTTAGCTGCTGTACCTTTAAGTTTAGCGCTGTACTCCGTCTTGTCAGACTGACTCCTCCTCACCAGCGTCCCCAGGTTGATGTCACCGTTGGCTATGTCATTGGCCACTATAGTGTCCGTCTTTCTCCTCTCCAGGTACCGCAGGAACACAGGCCGGTTTCTTCTTTTTATCGGTCTTTCCTTGTCCTTCTCACCCCCACCGGCCTCCTTGGGATCCATGGTGAGCCTGTCAGGTCCCCCTTTCCTCAGGTCAGTGATAGAGAACAGGAGGGTTGACAGAGAGAGACTGCCTGGGAAGTTCAACAGGTGTACTGTGTTCAATGTGTCCTGACTGCCTGCTCTGCACAGGTAGCTCCTCCCATGTACCTGTCACGAGGGCCACACCTCTGCACTTAGTGCCTAGGCTTTCCTCCCTTTAGACCATCACATCTACCCACCAAAAGGACATTTTGTGCCTTGCCTTTATTTAGAGGGTTTACGTGAAGAAAATACTATTGAGGTCATCTCCTTGCTCATGCACTTTAACAAGATGGAAAGAAAAACTGCCTCTCACTTACCGACAAGGTGCCAACTGCTCATGAGGAAGTTAAATAAGGTAGTCATGCAAATGGCCTGGCTGTAAAACACACTGGGAAATTCAGCTTCTTATTTACACAATACTGAATGAGATCATTTTTAGAAGTCCTATGCGTTTAGCCATAAACAAGTTTACAGGTGCATCTTTCCATATTAAAATTTTATTTAAAAGTTAATTTACACTGATTAAATCCAAACAGTGAAATTTATGTTTCATAAACTCAGTACAAAGAGTTACATATGAGTGTTTATTCCTATTAATTTTGTTTAATATGACTTGTAGATAAATTGGAACCCAAAATTCAGTTCCCCAGAAAATTTGACTATAACAAAAAAGAAACCCCAACAAGATATCCTTGTGATGGCCTGTTAAGCACATCCATACCATGGTTATCAAATCAGATATTACTTCGTTTGGCAGAGTACTGCTAGAAATGACAAACTTCTTAAAGTCACCAGAAGAGATTGTGGAGTACGCTAAGATTTTCTAGCAGACAGTTTTGCTGACGTTGGACAGTTGACGAACAACCAGCAGGTGACACTCGGCACCCCAAATCATATCTGACAGGGGAAACGCTGAACCTCAAGCAACTTGACTTCTGTCTCCACTCTACCTTCAAGCTCTGGAACTTTGATTTTCAGATTAAATGCACAAATTGCTTTCGTCTGAAAAAGAGATTTTACATCACTGATCAACACTCAAGTTTCTCCTTTGGCCAGGTATGACATTTCTGGTGACTCTTGAAGCCTTCTACATTTAGATGCCTTCGGTGAATAAAGCTGTAATGTAATCGAACCTGAGTTAGCATTTTAACAGCAGATTTAATTAAGCAACTGGATGTTAGCCATTTATTTAGCATCTTCTTGTCCCATCTCTTCAGGGTTGACCGGACAGTGCCTGGCAGGAAGTCATCCTCATACAAGGTAAACTCATCTTGAAACTGACTGGGCTATCGCTTCGAGATATAACTCATTAATGATTCAAGTGAAGGCAAGGATTTCTCTTTGACTCTCCTTGACAATGCCAAATTATTACTCTCCAAACAGCATTGTTCCCCAGAAACATTATCACATATTAGAGTGCTGTATATGCTGTCTTATATAGAATTTCATAAAATGCACAAAAAANTTTGTTTTAAAATCACCCGGGGGGAAAAAACGGGAAAGGGGAAAAAAAAAAAAAAAAAAAAAAAAAAACACAGCTCAAGAGATTATTGAAATGCAACGTTGTGCTTTTGTTGCTATTTAAATTTTAAAAAATTATTGATTTTTTAAATTAATTTTTTTTTTCTGTAAGTTTTCTACCATCATCTTGACACCTGAGTGAAACTATGTCACTGTGATCTCATCTTCTTCAAATGAAAGTCAGAGAGCCTCACTTCAGCATGCCAGTCAGGCTCACTCGCTTCACGTTTTTTTTTTTTTTTAAATGCTCTGCTGCCTACACAGTGTGAGGCTGTTCTGTGGCAGGCTGAGGGACGCCTGTTTAAGGAAGAGCGATGCTTCCTCGCTGCCTAATCGATGCCAAGCGCTGCTTCCTCCTCTGTATGCAGAGAGCAATAAGGTGGTGGTGGTGGGGGGGCAGAAGGCTCCAAGCATCGTGTCAGGTTACGAAACTAATCAGGCTGCTGATGCAATCCTGCTGTGAGGATCTCAGGCATCTCATCTGCTCAGATCTTTCAAAGTGTTTGTGGGGCACACCAAACTCACACTCAAAAAGGAATAATGAAACCCACTAAGTGACACTGAATGAGTGAGTAGGTGCACACGAACTGTCATGACTGCACATGACAATATCATCTGCTTCAAGCAACACATTGTACCATAAGGGTTTAAGTTTTTTTTGTTGTTTTTTTACCAAGGACTGCTTTACATCTTGTTCAGGCAGAGGCCAAAAGTACCATTTGGAAAATTGTTCTAGAACTATCTGGCAATATTTGTTCAGCGATTCCATTTTGAATTTATATTGTTTACAAAGGTCTTCCCAATTATTGCATAAAACTAGTACATACTCTACAAAAAAAGTGTGCAGACGTGTCGCAGGTGCAATACTTGCCCCATATTTTGCTATTTAAAAGACAACAGAAACCACAGAAGTTGGAGAATGTAACTTGATAAAAGTGACATAACAATATTTGACCCAGTAGGACGGATCATGTGACTGTGCCCAGCAGAGCCTTATGGTGAATTCAAGCACAAGGAAAATACTAACATGGCAGAAACAAAGCTCTGATCTCACTCTACCGACAACACTGCGTGCTGCTGTGCCAACTCACACTTAAAGCCACAAAAAGTTGGAAAGCAAGACATTTATTATAGTCTACACATTCATATTTTAATATGTATTATAAAACGATAATATTTCACGTTTGATTGTTGTTCTTGCCATACTACTCAGCTACAGAATGAGATTTCTTCATTTTTTTACTTTAAATTTACTTCCAAATTTAAAGAAACAGGTTAAAACATATAGAAAAATGGCAAATTACTTATTGTTTGAAGAAAAGTAAAAAAAAAAAAAAAAGTCGGAGCCCAAGGTAGAAATCATCCTATGTTTTTAGCATTTAGCTGTTTCTCAGTTTGTCTAATATGATTAATATTTCACTTATAATGATCTAATGAATGTCCTTTCTTCAATGAATAATTTCTGAGAAACGTCTGGTTTAAGGTTTTCTGCATGCTGTGATTATTTTAAACATTGGTGGTCAGGAGCAGAGCTAAACTTTGAACTTGTACCTATTGAGTTCGTCCAATGTTGATTTTGAGGTCTATTTCTGGATCCTCTTGTAGAAACTAATCCTCTTATAATCTTTGGCGCTTATATAAATCATTTTCTTCCAAGTTATGCAAATATTCTAACGTTTTTAATCCTACCTCTACAAGTGAAATTTTTCCCGTGTCACAAGTTTAACAATGTAAACAATCCACCCACATCCTTATCAGCCAGAGAGATGTTCTACAAACACACATTTGCTCACCGCTGTCACATTTTTTTTTTTATTATTTTTAATTGCTTCTGCTTTTAATTTGATCGTAAAATACACCATTATGGTTGTGGTGTGTTTTTGTAGACATCCGTTACTGATTTCTGAAAAAAACTTTCTTATTTTCATGCACATGACATTTGTGGATGTGGAATTGGACAGTGTTACAATTCCACATCCAGATTAGATTTTTTTTTTATTTATATATTTATTTATTTATTTATTTTACAGCCAAACAAGTCACACACAATGATCATTTTCAGTTTACATAAATGCTGCGTTTATACGCATGGGGCAGAAGTTGGGTAGGTTTAAAGAATTATTGAATCAAAACTGTGACACACAGTTGCTGGAATGTGCTGTATAATACTGCTAATATTAGTGGGTTGTTGCAATAACTTTAGTTCAAGCCAGAGAAGAATTTTATTTATTTTTACTTTATTTATTTATTTATTTATTTTTTAAAGTTTTATCTTTTTGAATATAGGCAGGTAGAGGACGCAGCAAATGTGGATGAGTGTGCTCAACTCAACTGAGACCAAAATTGAATTTTTTTGACATTAATACCATGAATTTGAAAGATTAAGTTCACAGCATCCACACTGTGAACTATGATACAATGAGATGCTTTATTTCAGCAGTGACAATGAAACTGGTCAGAGTTGTTTTGAAGAGGAATGAAGCTAAACAGCTATAGAGTCACCCTCAAAGAAAACCAGTTAAAGGTTATCAGACTTCAGACAAGGTCAGATAAATAAAAAACTATACAGCTCACTCTCTTGATTTTTTCTTTAAATGATTGCTTTCTTCCATTTTACAGCTACACAATTTGCAATTAAACCAAACTGACTTTTGTAATTGTTACAATTTTTTTTGTTGTTGTTTTACCCTGTATCACAATACATTATATTATCTAAGTAATAAGTCTCAAACACATAATAAGCAACTAGTTCAGTGTCATATGTCAGCTTTAGCTGTCAGTCTGTAAGAAAGATCCCATACCTGAAAACCAGCACCTGTGAGAAAATAGGCCCAAGGAGAGTTTGAGTTTGGTCACTTCAAACCAGCTGAAATGTGACTATTGAATTTTATAAAATTGACACAAAAAGCTTGTGTCATGAAAGCTTCACTTCTTTTTGCTACCAAACTGAAAAACTGTAAAACTGGTGGGACATTTTAAGTTTGACAGAATCCTGTTTGGTTTGGTTTCAGGTGCGGGATTTCCCATGAAAGCTTAGACAAGGGTTTTCTCTGTTCAGCCCAGTGAAAGGGATCCCAATACGCTAGTCCGGAAAGAGCACAAAAAAACCTGATGGATTGTGTTGCACTTTTTGGAAAAATAATACTTTGGATTGTGCCACACACCAACAGGAAAGTTATCAAGCCAAATAAATGTAATTTGAAAACAAAGCATACAGAAATTGGAGAAAAGCTGGTTGCAATAAGTGGATTATGGTTCTTATTCTCATGAATTGGCAACATGGTAAGAGCAAAGAACTTTTTTCATTGTTAAATTTTTGTTTATTTTAAGTTATACAAAGTTAAAGTTACCATAAAATATCAATAAATGCCAATTGTTGCAAAGGCCTACAGGAAATAATGTAAGCTGATGAATCCTTATGTAAACCTTAAAATTTAAAACTGCCTGCACATTTAACGGCACCCTAAGTAAATTTGTGTTAAAAGGTTTACAAAATCAATTCTCTTTTGTTTTTGTGTTGTTTTTACAACACAATAATCTCATAAGGAAAAGTTAGCTGTAGTTATTTGGAGATTTGTTTTTAACCTAAAAGGTTTGTTCCTCATCCAGCCTTATTGTTAACAGTTCCATTTGTTGTGAACCATTTAATCCATACTCTGAAAGTATATATGGGCAAATTGTTTTTTTCTTGAATATATTTCTTCATGTGTGAGGATCAACACAGATCTGCCTCAGTTGAATGGTACGTTCACTTCTCTTTCCCATCTTGAAGGGAAGCTTCTTTAACAATTCACATTTGCACCCGATGGAACCACAAAATCATATTGAAATTTTCGAAAAACAAGTGAATGAGCACATATTTGAAAATGCTTAAAATTTACAAATGTCTGTAGGCATTGTAGAACTTTTTACTTTATTTGGATGCCATTGGATATGGATGAGATGGTTTTGGGAATGGTAGGATATCCCGGTGGTTGTTACATGACCACCCATTCTTAGTATTTTAGAATTTGGGCAACAGATGTTCAAACAGGATCCAAATTTTAAAAGGAACCAGTTTTTTTTTTTTTTTAATTTGTCTTCCAACTTAGCACAGGAATGATTAATAAAATGTTACTTTAAGATGTACTAAACATCATAAGTGACTCTAACCCAGTATAAAACCATATTTTCTTGATTAAATGTGTGTATGAAAGACTGGAAAACCTAGTGTTTGACCAAAAGTTGACAGGTCATCTTTTCTCCTTTCTTTGTTTGGATGCTTATGCCACTCCCAGACAGTTGTGTTGCCCTGAGTGGTGAGCCATATCACAAATGTCAAAGACCACAGCTGATTAGACATACTGATGTTATGTCTCCATGGCTCCTTTGCACAAACCTGCCTGACAGGCAGATGAGAGCAGACTTGAAGAGCAGCAGCTCAAATGTTTCCTCTTTCAGTGAAGTCATCGTTCTGTCAATATTTGCATTGGTAATACCCCTGTAAATATGTAATGCTGCTCATCAGCTGACTCTAAAACAGGGCGGGGTTAATGGTTTACTGAAAACACCTCTGCGTGTGTTTTTGACAACTCTGCCCACCACGATACAGGCTGGGCTAGAAAATAGCACAAAGGAGCAGTAGAGTGGTCCTATTTCAGGTAAACAAAACTGCTGCCGATAAGGCAAGCATAAATAAGTGTGTGTGTGTGTGTATAAGTGTGTGTGAAAGTTACCTGTGAAACAGGCATTGAGATTTACTTTTCGTTTGCTTTATAAACCATCAGCGGTCAGTGTGTCATGTGATTTACATTGTTCACAGGAGAGGAAACTGAGGA